TATATATATATGGCGTGTGTGAGAAAGTTTAACCGCATTATTAAACACGCTGCTTATCGATCGGCCGAATTTTTCGAAAAGTCCTACTAGTTTCGGATAGCACATATGTAGGTCGAGGGTTGCCGCAGCGATAAATTCCTCGAGAGAGAAGGTCGGCGGAAACGTGAAACCGGTATCGATCGAAACTTTCGAGATCGCGGGATATTTCGAAAACAGCACGAGACATACACAAATCCGTTGTATCGATCAGTAATCACGACACGACGACCTTCCGAAGAATCTCACGCGTACTATCAACACACTACATACCTTATTTTCGATCGTTTGCGCTCCGTTTATCACCGCTATATCGTGATATTCTTTTACGCATTCAAGATTCGCTGATTGCGTAAAATTGATTACTGCTTATTGTAACATACCTGTAGTTAGTCACTGCGCAATCTACAATATATCTTTTCTAGTGCACGAATTAATTAAGTGTGAAAACAATGAAAACTCGCACTCGGACTTGGCGATGTCTATTTTTCTACAATTGCGCGAATAAAGCGCTGGATTAGTCATATCGATTTTATCAGCGTTCCATATCTCTCTGTTCCTTTCTCAAATGTGTAACGTCATAAAATTAAGAAATCAGCGAAAGTGAGAAATCGAAAGAATATAAGACAAACTGACTTTTCATTACTTTTAAAAATTATCTCTCGCGTATTTTTCACTCTTGTTATTGCGATCGCGATACAAATGCACCGACGAAATGTACGGACTTTCGCATCGATCGATCGAATAAATCCACACACGCGGATTTATAAAAATCGAGTAAAACGAGCGTCACGCGCGATTGTCGTCGGTCAACTGTCAGACGACGTAACGCGATACGTACGTCGTCGTCGCGATCACGCCAACTCACGCGTACTATCAACACACTACATACCTTATTTTCGATCGTTTGCGCTCCGTTTATCACCGCTATATCGTGATATTCTTTTACGCATTCAAGATTCGCTGATTGCGTAAAATTGATTACTGCTTATTGTAACATACCTGTAGTTAGTCACTGCGCAATCTACAATATATCTTTTCTAGTGCACGAATTAATTAAGTGTGAAAACAATGAAAACTCGCACTCGGACTTGGCGATGTCTATTTTTCTACAATTGCGCGAATAAAGCGCTGGATTAGTCATATCGATTTTATCAGCGTTCCATATCTCTCTGTTCCTTTCTCAAATGTGTAACGTCATAAAATTAAGAAATCAGCGAAAGTGAGAAATCGAAAGAATATAAGACAAACTGACTTTTCATTACTTTTAAAAATTATCTCTCGCGTATTTTTCACTCTTGTTATTGCGATCGCGATACAAATGCACCGACGAAATGTACGGACTTTCGCATCGATCGATCGAATAAATCCACACACGCGGATTTATAAAAATCGAGTAAAACGAGCGTCACGCGCGATTGTCGTCGGTCAACTGTCAGACGACGTAACGCGATACGTACGTCGTCGTCGCGATCACGCCAAGAGCGTCGTTGCTGCGTCGTTGCTACATTGTTGCTGCGAACGCCACGGTTAGGTTAACCTCGTAGCCGTTCTTCGCCAAGTGTAACGAGGATTCGACTTACTTCCGGCGTTCTCATGCATCGCTCCCTCCCGCTGTCGGTCGTCTCGACGCTTAGTTAGAGCCTCTACTAACTTTAGACAACGATGGAGCCACGCGACGACGATAATTCACGCGTGCCACGCGTGAAGAGGGAAAAACGAGCGAACTTCACAACGGATATCCGAGAGAGATAGAGAGAGAAACAGAAAGAAAGAGAGGGGAAGAGAAACTTACGTTGAAAATAATCCGTCCTCGCCTCCTGGTGCACTGCCACCGCACCTCCTCACGGCGGCATCGTCCGCGACGACGAGAAAAACGAGGCGCGAGGTGAAGATGCCTCCGGGATGTAACGTGACGATCGCCGAGAGTGATCGTCCGTCCGGTCGGCCGTTCGCGAGAACGGAAAACAAGCGAAAATCGATGTTTCCACCGGCGAGCACCCGCACACATACACACACGCACGCTCGCGACGCACGACGATACAACTCGGCACCGACGATCGCCCGGCGTACGCGCGTCCGCTCGATAAGAGAGAGAAACGTGGCGGCGTAATAATAAACTATCAGCCACCGCCGAGTCGTGAACGCGCGCCGCGCATTATCACCTTATCGCGCCACGATTTTCGCGTCACGAATGCCCGAGAGACCCCCGTCGTCCGGTTGTGACACGGACGACGCGCCTAGCAGACGACATTTTGGTTCGCCCGAGGCCGCACGAGGCGCGCCGAAGACGGCCGATCGAGGCGACAGGGGCGGCTCTTCGCGCGCTCGTAAATTACCGCGAATATTCGATTCAAATTTATCCGCCGTCAATCGCGAGATCTTTAGGTTGAACTCTACTCTAAGATATTTCGTACCATTATCGCATAAACATATATACAAGTGTTTCCGACTTCTATTTGTATGATTTTTCACCGGCGATTGTAATTCATACCTCATTAAAATGCGTCAAATGCGAATTTAGCGGTTATCGAAATCGAATTTATTAATTTCGGTTTCGTAACTCCGACTTTTTGCCATTCTTTACGATACGATGATAATGACGGTTGATGACGGTTACAATGAAATGAAATTTTAGAAAGCACAGCGGAAAGCACAGAATGAAAAAAGCGCCCTTTTTCATTCTCTTTTCTATATAAGATATAATAGATAAAATGACAAAAAATTATTTAGTTACTTGCGAGCAACGCAGGATAATTTCGCATCTTTGCTTCTCATTGCGAAATGCCTTCGATATTTCAGTCTCTTAATATCGTTGCGACGTGTTCGCGATGTTTTGTATCCTTGTGGATTCACTTGAAATTTCTTCGTCACGCATACATTGTGCAAGAACTAGTTTCTTGAATTAATATGCGTGTCGCGTGTAACCGGCATGCGTCGTAACCGGCGCGGCAGTTAACCTTAACTAGGCGCTCACTTGGCGTTTTTCTTTCTCACCCTCCCTCTCTCTCTGTCGCTCACGTGACGTCACAAGTTAAACTATCCTGCTCTAATCGCCGAAAGAGCGTGTGTCAAGCCATACAATAAAAAAAACTAGCAATCTTTATTACGTTCGAAGCTGTAATTGCTTTTGAATCAAGATTCAATTCTTTCGATGAGAATTTTATTACGAATATAAAATGATTTTAGTTATAAAGAATCCTTCTCTCTCAAAATTTTCTCAAAAATAGATCACCATTTTTAGATATAATGAATATTATCTGTACTTAATGATTCCAATGTTAATTCAATTTCTGATAGAAAATATAAACAATTGTGAGAGAATTGATTAGAGAATTCTGCGTATTATAATTATGATCTTCAATAACGAGTCTTCGATGCGTAAAAGCTTTACAATTACTCATGAAAATCATGCGTGTGTATGTATGTGTGAGAGAGATATCTCGGCTTTTTTAACCTACCTATTACATCATTTAAAAATATTAATAATTATGATCGATACAACTGATCGCTGAGTAGTGACAGATGCATACTTGGTGATACTTGCCTTTACTTCGGCGAGGAAATAATGATGAAATATTCAAAGATTAGGAAAAAAAAACTCCGACAACGCAAGGGCGGATCACCGATACGGAAATTGCGATATTGACGAATAACATAGAGGTTCTTATTACGACAAACGTATTACGAACGAATGACCGGAACTGTCGGAGATACTCGCGGTAATTTTTTGCACGCGAGACTTTTGAATAAAAAAAAATTGCGACAAATCATGTCATATCTGTTCGTTTTAGAAATGCATTTCGTAACATGAAATATATTTTTTCTTCAGGAGAAGAGAGAGAGAGAAAAAGGATAAAGATAGAAAGTATAAGAAACGAACAAGCGTTTGCAGCTAAAACGAACAAACGTTTTGACGTCAAATCAAATTATTTTATAATAAATATTAAAAATTATACCTAAATACATAATCAGTCGTTGCCCAAGATATATATATGTGTAACAATTAATTGCGGAATAAAGATTAATTTATCCGATAGAATGTAAAGGAAATAAGACACTTGATATTAATATTCGCAATTATGGAAATGCTAAATTATTAAAATGTATCTTATCTAAAATAATTTTAAGAAATGATTTGCTAAGCGGATCAGTAATGTGTTATATTATCTAAAGTATTCTGAATAATGTATAAATATTAGAACATTGTATCAAACCTTCATAAATTGTTTGCATAAGACACTCCAGGGGAAAAAAATCTGATAATTAGCAAAAACCGCTTATTAAATGCAAGATGCGATAGAACGATTACGCGGCTTGCGTGTTAATATTAATGGAATGTGAGATCATTCCTATATAAGTGGGTACATAAATTTTTCGTTCACGTCGTTAACTCTGTCGTCGCAAATGGCAACCTTCAAAACCTTTTGCCGCGGTTGATGTCACCACTAAATAAAGGCGGTGATACTATCGATAAATCTGTTGTTTCCTCTATCTACAAGTATTGAATGAACAAACGCGCCTTTGAGTATATTTGACACGAAGAATGTCATTATCGCGTTGAATGCATTATCTCGATGAACGGTCGGTGCCGTTTTTGATTCGTGATGTAACGCCAAATCAATCGATAACTCTGATATCTTAATGCTATACGTAGATTCAGAAGATGTAAAAACAATGTATAGTTGTGTAAGCCATATATATAATCATGTATGTGCATACTAAATATTACAAAAACTGTATTCAGTATGATAAAATTATGCTAAACATATATTATACAATAACTAGTTTTCATTCGCAGGCAACATACCGTTTTTATGGTAATCAATGTTGCGCTATGTAAAATTTACATTGGCAGTGACATTTCTATAATATCATTTTTGTATTAAATAAAATTCAATATTCATTTTACACTTTTATCATAGTCAATTTACAAGTTTTATTAAACGTGCTGAATCCTCACGTGTTTTAATGCTCCCTTCTCTTTTTTATTGTCCACAGCAGCGGTCTTCCAAACAAGTTCCAAATTTTCGCGAGTAGCACTAATCTCTTTTTGCAATTGTCCGATTGTTTCCTCCTTTTGCCTTAGCAGATGCTTGAGACGTTGCAATTCTTGATGATATTCGTCTTTCATCCGGTGCACTCCGATTTGCTGCACCTTCATATTTTTCTCTGCCAATGCTAATTGTTGTTTGGCACCTTCGTGTACGATCTAACAATAATAATGTAATTATATTTAAAAAATCGAATGAAATATGTATATATATATATATATATATATCGAAAAATATATTTCATATACCTTTAACTGTTCTTTCAAATGACCTACTCGTTGTGTAATAGTGTCACCGAGAAAATGAATACTTGCATTTTCATTTTCCGTTTCATGTAAAAGTTTAACCAACTTATCCCGTTCGGCGACTACTCTTTCATATTCACTGAACAACTCCTCGCAGTATATTGTAGTCTTTCTCAATTGCTTTTTGAAAGAATCTCGAGATACTTGCATAGAATGTGCCAGTTTTTGAAAATGCTCCAGTTTTCGCTGTATACGTCTAAGAGAAGAGAAAAATAAAAAATTTATGTAAACACACGCTATAAAAATCAAATTTATAAAGTTTGGAGGGTCTACAATAGGTATACATTGATATACTTACTTTAAACTTTTTTCGAAATTTTTATTCGACACTTTCAATTGATTTCTTTCTACCGTAACTATCTCTAATTGCGTTTTATTTTGGCAGTATAATTCTTCCAATTCTTTAATGCGAGTGGATCCTTTCTCTTTCTCAGTTTCATATTGATGTTTTAGTTTCTCAAATAGCTGTCTACATTCTTCAACAGCAGCATTATGAACATCGATGGGCATCATTTTTATATTGTCGCTTTGTAACTTTTCATATTCTTTACGAAGAATATCATATTTCCCTTGAAGATTACTCAATTCTGTTTTTGACGCAAGATATTCCTCATGAAGTTTATTATTATCAAATGACATTGCCTCTACTTTCTGTTCATACAATGTATGGATCTCGTGTATCTTTTGCTTCTGATGAGCAATCTGTTTTATATAACACTCGTTCAATTCCTTCAGTAAGTCAGTATCCTCGGATATCATCTTGATTTCATCCGTATATCTGGCACACTAGAAAACTTCTACTACAATAATTTGTATAAAATGCACACCAAATTCTTTTATAGCTAGAATACCTTTAATCTTAATTTTTCCACTTCATTCTGCATGCACTCATTCTCTGCAATAACTTCTTTGCATCTAATACTGAAATTTGCAATCTCCTCTTCGTATTTATTTAAAAGTTCTTGTTTCTCTGATAAATTTTCCTGATAAGCATCTAAAAGTGGGCCTAATACATGAGTATTCACAGAACCCCATGACTCTAATACTTCTTTAATATCGTTTACTGGCCTCTTAGAATCTAATATGTTATTAATATTTTTAGATAGCACACTTTGTCCCAATTCTCTCATTTTATCTTGATATTTTTCTAGCTCTGCATTTAAACAATATATCACATTTTTCAAAAGCAATACATCTTCATTTAGTTGAACATTTTCAGACTTGCATCTTTGATTAAATGTTAGAAGATTGGAATTGGTTTTCTCTACTTTTTGCAAAGCTTTGATAGATTCTTTGTGATATGTATGTAACTGATCGTACTCTGTTTCACGTTTTACCATAACAGCATTTAGTTTCTCGTATTCTTGTTGAAGGCTTTCATAATCTTTTAACAACTTATGATATTTATTGCAGACTCTTGACATTAAGGAATCCTTTTCTCTTAATTCTGCAATAGTCTCTAAAATTATATTATAATTAATGATTGAGAATTTTTACCATTATTCTTTAGTTAGTAAAATATTATTTATATTGTAATAAATGTGCTCCTGTGAAAAAAAAAGATAAGAAAACTTACCAGGGTTTATCGCAGAACTTTCAAGTTTCATTGTCAATATCCGATTTTCTTCAACTAATCTATCAATTTTCTTTTTAATACAATGTTTGCCATTTTTCTTAGGTAATGCAACACTGTCATGATTTCTATTTTTATCTGTCACTTCTTCAAAATCACCATTAACTCTTGAATGACGTCTCGTTCTATGAAACCGTCTGTAACGATGTAATGGCTTGTGCACTGGTTCCAGTTCATTTTCAATGGTTGAAACCTTATGACTGCTCTGCTGCAATTGTAATAAAATTATGTTAGATAATAAAGTAAACCATTATATTAAAAATTATTTTATGAAACAAAGATATAGAAAAAAATATACTCTTAAAATATTTATTACAATTACCTTTTCTTTAAAACGCTTATCAGCACTGTTATCACGATTTGGCATCGCCTGCTTTATGCTGCTAAAGTATAAGTAACAAACAATAGCTTTTAAATAGTCATTTGCATATATAATTCTGACGTCATTAGCATAAACATGTAAGATCGCACCAAGCCTAAATAAGATTTTTGGAAGGCTTAGGTTTGTTTGTATTTTGAACACAGCTGATTCGACTACCATGCCACCATGGCAACTAGCGGCGACGAGGTACCATCAAGTTGACTCAGATGACACTAGATTACAAATTTACGACTTGGAAACCTGATAATTTTTACGCAGCTCACAGTTAGATGGCGATGAATGCAATTTTCGTAATAATTCCCCGCGTACGGTCTACTATAATGAAAACGGACGTCGCGCGAATCAATGAAAGGCGATGTAGAGACATAGATATGCATACATATGACATTTCATTCAAGTTCATTCAACGTAGGGCCTGTTGGAGAGAGAGAGGCGAGAAGAAAGAGACAAAGAGAGAGAAAGAGAATTGCCATTTATAATAAAATTGCTCCACCTCTACTTATGTTCAATTTATTCTCGTTAAAAACCGTACGATTGCAAAAGCAATAGAACTATCAATTATTTTCGATAAAGATACAAAATTTTGATTTACGAAAGTTTTAATTCGTAACATTGTCAGAACAGATCTATTGACTTAACGAGAAAGCTTGAGCATGTCCCCATACATTTGCTGGACGAGCGATATATATGATATAACAACCGCAATGCAGTTCTTATTAAATGACTGCCTGTCCCTGAGTTGTACCGTTTTACATGATGATTTGCAAATTTGATTTCATCGATTGCCAAAGAAATATCCTAGTAAATCCGTTTCTACAATATTAAGGAAACAGCAAAGTTGAAAGACTTCGTACATTTTAGGGAGAGACGTATCTTAAGTATTGTAGTTATATAATAATGTGTCTGCGTCGCGTAATAATTTATTCTTGAAATACTCTTAGGTAACACTTGGCCACAGCTAACACAATTATCATTACCATTTCCGAGATAATTTAAGCGCCGACAATTATAGATAGGGCGGCCTTGGTTAAAAAGTTATATTGCGTTTCATAGATTATCTGATTGATAATTATCGATAACGCAAATTGAACGTAACATAATGTATTCTCCCCAAATTGTATATCTGTAACAATTAAGAAAATTTGTAAATCATTCCCTCGTACATATATAGCTATTAATAATAAATTATCTTTTTATAGTTGGACTATTCATGCTGAAGCTGTCGTTATGTTTTATAATGTCAAATGCCTCGCTTGATCAAAATTGCAATTATTCCCAATATTTAAAACCTGGTAATATTTATTACGTGTACAATCCCGACTATCCCAACGTTTCCAAAGGTCGACAATCATGTACATGGATTGCGGAAAGTGACTATCGAGTGAAATTAATGTGCAATAAATTTAACATACCGTGGGTAAGATTCTGTTTGTAAAAGAATCAAATATTATTAAAAAATATTTATTACCGTAATCGTTGAGCTCGCATTCATGAAAAGATCAATTTCACTTTCTGAGCTTTAAATCATAAAAAAATAAAATTGTTATTAATTAAAATTCATAAATAAATCGCAGATTTTTTCACGATAATATTCAGAATATTTTTCGCAGAATTTCAATTGTGCCTTTGACAGGCTAACTGTACACGTGAATAAATCCGTATCCCATTCCTATTGCGGAAATGAGACATTTAGCGTAGAATCAACGGGAAAAGTCATGACCATTGAATTATCAACCGCATTCTGGTCATCGGGAGTTAAGTTTCTGTGCGGACTACAGAGAATCGAAGAACCAGGACGCGATAATTGTACATGCGGATGGAAAAATCCGGTGCGTGCATCAAATAAAACTAAATAATAGAAAAAATTGATACACATACACATCGTTTTAATTTGAATTTATCGCAGACGAAAATAGTGGGAGGTATGGAAACTGGAGTGAACGAATATCCCATGATGGCTGGTCTCGTCGATCCTTTTCAAAGAGATGTATATTGCGGGGCAACCATCATATCACAAAGACACGTTTTGACTGCCGCACATTGTCTGACCGATAGAAATATAAATAACGTGGGCGTACTTGTAGGAGATCACGATCTTACTACAGGTAAATGCGTTTCTCTTAATCCAAGAGACTTGAAGATTTTCTAATAAAACATATATAATTTCATTAAATTTTTATTAATCTTTATTAGTATTTTAAATTTATATTAATTATAATAATCAAAAATTTCTTAACATTTCAGGTGCAGACACAAATGCTTCGCGCCTTTATACTGTATCCAAATTTGATATATATCCTCTTTACAACGACGAGACTCTAGAAAATGACATAGCCATAGTAACGACGAATTCCATTATAAACTTCAGCGAGGAAGTTGGGCCGGCTTGTCTTCCATTTCAACATCAGTCCGATTCCTTCGCAGGAAGTTATGTAGATTTATTAGGTGAGCTATATTTGCTAAGTCGTTCACTATGTTTCAAGAAATAATAAATTTTCATTGTTTCACCTAAGTTGCATAAATAATAAACTTTTGATGCATTTAATTTTTAATCGAAATATAGGTTGGGGAACAACACAATTTGGCGGAATGAAATCAAAAACTTTACAGGAGGTTACGTTAACCGTAATCACATATCGAGAGTGTAATCGATGGGATCCGAATTTATTATATAGCCAGTTATGTACTTATGGAGAAAAGAAAGACACATGCCAGGTAGCATTGTGTTTGTTTGCTCAAATTCTATAAAATTATTGCAGAAGAGGACATTCGTGTGCATTCATATATCCATCAATTTTATCACAGTTCGACAGTGGTGGTCCCGTCCTTTGGAAGAATCCTACGACGAGACGAGAGATTCTCGTGGGTATTATCAGTTCCGGCTCCGGTTGCGGTAATAATGAACCAGGAATAAACACACGTGTCGGCACTTACATAGATTGGATTCTTCGTGTGACACCGGGTAAGTATACGAAATATACGATACGTTATCATCTCATTGACACGTCGGATAAATATACGAAATATACAATACGTTATCATCTCACATTTCGTGCTTATTTACCTTCTTACAGGTACCAATTATTGCAAGACTGAATAAAAGGGGACAAATAACCCTTTTTTTTTTTTTTTTAAAAAAAAGAATACTTGTTATTTCAGAAATTATTTCGATATTGCTTATTATTTATTAGACTGTTATTTATATATACTCATTTCCATGAAACATTCCAAAATTATATGTGAATTATTTAATGTACATATTTAAGAGCTAAAATATATATTCCTAATTTATATCTTTATATATAGTACATATATAACATCATGTAGTAAAATATATTTCATCTACCGCTTCAGCCAAGACGCTGCGATCGATATTCTCAGACCTAGATTATATACTTAATAAATCACGAATAGATTCAATGGAACTTGAATATTGAAGTTATTATGGTGTGCATATCTGACACGTCTATTTACATATAGACGTCAGCAGATATGCTGAAGAGTTTCGAGCGAATATTTGCAGCAACATATTTCGACGCATATTAAGATATACGATGTTCCAAAATTTAAGATCGAATTTAGCCTTATTAAATTCTTAACTTGACTGAATTTTAAATTTATTGTAACGAGTTATAGAGAGAAAATTATACATAATAAATTATTAGTTCCAAAGTTGTGTGTGTACACGCTTATGAGACCTTAGATTATCTTTAATAGCAATTTCTGCGGTGTAGAATGTAGAATGATCAACATTAACGACTCGTAAACAATGTCTCATTATTAATAAGTTCCTGAATGAGGATGTGACGTTAAACTGTCTATAGGAGGGAATCTATGGTAAACGTCCACTTACACCGACCAATGTAGTACCATATTAACTTACTTGTCATGGCGTATATGTACCGAAGATTTACATCGTGCTCTTTTACCATGCTTGCGTGCAGAGAAAGAGTGAGCTGGAGAGAGAGAGAGAGAGAGGGGGGGGAGCGGAACGTTTCATAGACTACTTCTCTGATTGAAATTGAGTATCGATCCCGCAATCGTGCGCGGGACACTATCTTCCGCCAAAATATTTATAGCCGAGGGCGAAGGAGGGTGGAGAAGGAGAGAGTGAGAAGGGGGGGGTGGAATATATAATAAAATATATGATATAAATAGATATAATAATTGAAAATACAAACGACCTTCGATCTATGATGGAGAATATCGATTCTTTGTCATAATCAAAATTGATTTGTATAAACTGCTGTATTAGTTATTTCGGCTATTTATAAATATAAAGAGATAAATATATATAGTTCACAAAATAGAAATTATCGTACTGTATATTAATAATATATCAAATGTTCTCGTGCGAAGTCAATGTTCTACGAACGCATATCAGTTAGTGATAATAGTTTCATATCCACAGCATTTATTAAACAAATTGATTTCTTTGATATGTATCGCGATAATATCCTTGACATAGTTGTTGACCCAATGATAGTACGCAAATAGTCTCTTCCCATCGCGACGGAACTCCGTATAATATGAAAAACTTTTTGCAAAAAGATATATTTTTCTTGCAGAGAAATTTAAATATTTCATATATAATAATTTTATATCACATGAAAGGAATAATATTTCATATTATTAACGAAAGCAGAAATTTATTTTTAATCTGATCGATTATATCCGATGGAAAAAAATGGAAAATCGAATATCTTTAAAAAAAATGGAAAATCGAATATCTTTCGTTTGTAACGTGAATACATAATAATGTGTTTTATCTTTTATAAAAAATTCTAAGAGATGAAATTAAAATATATGATCCGTATCAAGCGAATATTTCATCGTGAGAATTCCGATGAATAGATCCTGCGTGTTACCTGTTTGCGGTCCGCATAATCCACAATTTTTTCCCAAGGGACGCACAGTGCCATTCAGAATAATAGTACAAAAATTCTTTGGAGCGACGCGCAGAAAGAAGTTGAATGAGCATTGTGAGAGGACGAGGCGATGGACTTGTATAACCACATCCGTATGCGACGTTAGATGGATAAAACAGATACAAGCCCAGATATCTATTATAACATTTTTATACTATGCGTAGAAAATGTATAATAAAAGATGAAGTCCCGCGACGATCTATCCATTGTGAGTTTCACTTCTACATATTTTTATGCAGCAATGAAAATAAAATTGTACTTCCCTAATAAAAAAAGAAAAAAACAGATTAAAAAATATTCTGCACATCATTTGGTGAGCATCATCGATTGTTCATCACATTTAGCACGGTACATTGTAAAGCAAGGACATGTATTACTTATTGCGTGCACGTTACTGTATTTTCGTTTCAAAGTCTCGTTTTTCTATTAGACAATCGAATTATCTATAACAATAGCGAGTATAGAATTGGAGAGTATATATGCATATAACGTAATTATTGACATAAAAATCCAGAACGAATTATTGCAAAAAAATATAATTAATATTGTAAAGTGTGAATATGCACAACATCACGTTAGAACAATTTATAAACATCAAATTATAAATATGGAAATTGTAAAATATTCACAACACTTAAAGTATATATTCCCATCTCTTATTTTAGATTTATTTAAAAAATTTTTTATCCGGTCTTATTAAATAGATCTCTAAATATATATTGTGTGCGTATTATGTGATTCAATTATATATCATAATATTTTGATTTGAGACTCACACTCTTCGATACATTTCTGTTAGTGCAATGGCTAATAAAACCATCAAAACTGATTTGTATTCGAAAAATTGTTTCCAAGGTTTACGCAATATTATGCAAGCAGTGCTCGCGGTATGCCGTAATCAGCACAGGTAAGCGGAAAAGAAAGATAGACAATGCATCAGATTTCTATAAAGCAAAACTCAACATTCGGTGAAATATAATTAAGCGGATTTTATGGAATACTTTTTGAAACATATCCCTAATTAAATATCCTTGTTTACGGAAGCGATTTTAACGATATATGCGTCCGAAAAATAAACTTTACTCGATGCAGGCAACTCAATGTAGAACATTATTTGAGAGAGTCGTTGTTGTCATGCATCCGAGAACGTTTATGAGTACACATCCACGAATGCTATTCGATGCAAATCAGGTAAATGGCGATATACAAAGTGGCGGATAGAATGAAGAACTCGAGAACACAAGGTTGAAAGGTTACGCGACTGATTGCATAACTTGATGAAGCTACTGACTGACCCGTATATACGTATACATTATACGTGTGTATATAGCACGTACAGACAAATTCCGCGAAACATTATATCCAGAGATAGCGTTGAATGACATCATGGGGTGATATCGATCCCCTTTAGCCAATGACGTCAAGAACTTGTCAAGAATATGAAAAAGAGAATGGAAGAGAATAATAGTAGAAATAGTAAAAAAAGGAAATTTATTATATTTATTTTGCTCTCACCGTCTTCTTGAGTTCAGCAAAGGTTTTTGCTAAATAATTATCCCAACGAAAATTACTTTTTCCCCTCGACTGACAAATAAAGCGATTCGAATAAGGATTAAGATGCTGTCTAAGGCCGTCGCTAGGATAAGGGATGCTGGGGAATCTTTCGATCGAAGGGATTATGACAGAGACGCTGATGCGTGGGAAGCTGCGCGGCCGCCGAGCGTATCTTTACTCCCTTCGTGGAACAACAAAGTTCGATCGATGACGCTAGTTTATCAGTTTAAACTACTCTTGCCATCCCGACAGAAGCGCGAAGTTCAAACAAGCCATATTAAAATGTGCGTCACTAAACAACGGAATGAAAAACATTTTCATCCACTCGCTGTTAAAAGGTCAATGGGAATATAAAACAATTATCGAAACGTGATCCGATGAAAAGTTATGACGTGGGTTTGCGGATATCAAATTTATCTCTAAATCGATACTCGTCAGCAACCCTTGTTGAGAAAAGTTAGCGATAGACGAGATTATCGCGCAATCTGTTAACGACTGATACAAATCAATCATGGTGCTTAAGAATTTGTATAAAATTCGCTCTATCAATCTCACAGTTTACATAATTATATTCGGGGGTTACATTTTTTATAGTAATCAAAATATGAGAATTTATCTAAAAAAATCGTATGTCGCAACGACTCGAATAATTTTACCCCATTTAATTTACTCCTTCTCTCTTCGGTATCTTTTCTGCTCTATAATATAATAACAACACTCGCTATATATCCAGCTCTCCACCATTTGAAAAGGGTCGACCGGCTGGCGTATGCGCGTACATGCACAATTACCTCGGCCAATCGGGGGACCGGACCATCGGTAGAACGAACCTTCGTCGCGTTGAACACACGTCGATGTCGCTCCAGAGGTGCCTGTTCCGTAGGTTCGTTCCCTCGCGCATATCGTCGCGCACTAGCGGCGGCTCAGTCCTCAGTCCGATATCGACGTCCGAACGAGGCGCACATATCCATCGAGCCACACGTTGCGAAATTTTACGCGGCCTTGGCCGTCTGCGCTTCTCGCATTTCTGCTGATGGAACGTAGAACGACGAAGCACGTGGAGGGAACAGAGGCAGCTTCGGCACAGTAATAGTGCAAGGAATGGTATACATGGGTACCAAATGCCCTGCAAGTTTCGCTTTTCAACGAGACACTCGCGTCCGCTGCGACGTCAATCCGACTCATCCGAAGACTATACAGTTTAAATAATAATTCACCGGCAGTGCGAGTTCTTCGATCGAGTATTTATATTGGATCTAAAACAATCACGACGACGACGAGCGCAACGTCAACGATTACGTCTTCCTCGCGTGCAGAGTCTAGCCGAGGGAGACAAACTATGATGCTGATGAACTTGTGACTTCCAACTATACCGACCCGCAAACGGCAGCGACTTAAAGGAATCCGACCCACGAAATACGAAGACTGCTAATGTTGATTCTGGCTAAAGCTGAAGAGGCACTGATTTAACGGTTGACGAAAAGATCTTCTTCGTGAATATATCAAGCTATTTTAGATTTCGAACATCGTACCGGCAGCTACTGAGGAGCCAGAAATTGTAATCTCCTCACGTCCCTCTTTCTCTCATCCATCTTTCTCTCTCTCTTTCTATACTTCTCTCTAACTCTTTC